GGGTGTCGCGGTGGGGGGGGGGGTGTGTGTGTGCAGGTGTGTGAATATATTGTTTTGTTCCATTTCAATGCAGGCAGCTGAAAACTGCAAATCAGATGTAACAAATACTTACCCCTGGCCAACAGCTTTAAAAAAAAAATTGTCAGCAGCAAACTGAAGCCCTAATTCAAGTCAGCAGCTTGGGTTATTTTTTTTTTTTTTTTTACTGTAAGTTTAGCTAGTTTGTGACTCAAATCTCAGGTTTTACTATATTGAAAAGCGAAGAAGATTTTGTCATTGTTTTGTTTTGTGGCTAGGATGTGACTTTAATTTCCTACAGCAGACTGTTGAAAATAGCACTGAAAGCTACAGCATTGATTAACTTGATCCTAAAAAAGTGCAAAAGGCACAGAGAGAGGCGGCACCAGGAGTAACTGAACCCAGAGGCTGTGTTTGTGCTGTGTGGATGAGATGCTGGAAGAAGGGGCAGTCTGGGCAAGGTATAGGTTGACACCACACGGGAAAGCATGTCAGGTTTGGCTATTCATTAAACATACTGCCACTTGTCTCTGTTTACATATCAAGTGAAAGCAATTACATTACAACTATTTTCAGCGTATATACACACTCTGTGTGTGTATGTACGTATGTAAACCGTTTAGCAGTGCTCCTCTCAGCCAGATTTCAGTGAAAGCCCATGTCTTTGATTTAAATCAGTTAATGGGGGTTAACACAAATCAATCACTAGAGGCAGAAACAGAATCTTCCGGTCTTTTGTGCTCCTTCATGTGTGTGTTCTCCCCCTCTCTCTCTCTATACATACAAATATGCACATTTGGGTTTCGTTTGGTTAATTGTCTTCTGAGGAACTGAAATCTGGTCTTCTGTCTCCTTGTGATTTCCAATACACTACAGTCACTGAATGAATCAAAGCTGTAGGCTCAGTGTGTTTAGGGGACGGGTTCGTGTAGGAGGAAGCCTTAACCCCACGTCCTGTGCAGGATGGTGCCCTGTCTCCTATCTGAACTAGTGTCCTGTACCTGAACAATGCTGGAAATGGTTTTTAGAAGTTTGGAAAGCAAAAGTGGAGGATGCGAGGGGGGAAATGTGTATATGTTCAATATGAATATAATGTTCTTTGGTGTATGGCAAGCTGTTTAAATGGTTCAGAGAGATGTGAGTTTCTCATCTTGTTGTGTCATGAGCATTACCTGTATGTTACGATGAAATAAAATCAGAAATGGTACCTGTTGACATAGAACGGCTGAGGAAGGAGCCTGTGTGCCTCTGGCTGCGGAGTGTGCGTTACCTGCCTGCAGTACGACCTGCTCCCCAGCACCAGCGGGGGGCTCGTCCCCACTCTGTGTCCTCTGCAGATGCACGCCTTTTAATGAATGACACAGACTGGGTAGCTTTGGACTGCTCGGCACGAGCAGCAGTAATTTTACAGCGCCGGTAACAGTTTCAGTCTCTTACCTGTTCCTGTTTACCCCACCTCTTCTGCTCCCTTGAGTAGCAGCAGTGGCACTTCCCTGCATTAATGTCTTACAGCGTCTACTGCAGTTGTGAGTAAACTGTTCTCAAGGCAGCTGTGCTAGTCTTTCTGAAGCAAGTATTTCAAATTGATTAAGTTACCTAGGATGAGCACCATGGGTTTTTTTCTTGCCTCCCATACTACTTATTTGAAGAAGAATTTAATTACTTGTTTAAATACTTCTTTTGACTGATTCTGCCAGTCCTGAAGCATTCAGAGCAACAACTGATTGCCGAGGGAGGGGTATGCCCCTCATTGCTCCTTCAGAGCACAGTTTATACAAATGTAGCATGTATTAAAATTAAATCCTGCAGTAGAACATGGCTGCTAAGGTTATATACTTAAAGATCCAAAGCTCAGACCTGTGAGTTTGTGTAATGGCATCTTGAAACTCAGGTCCAATAATAGAAGCATTTTTTCTTAAAAGATAATTTTAACACATAATCCCAGAAAGGGAAATGCAGAATCTTTGGCCTCTCCATCAGCCACAGCACAAGTAACGATCCGCAGGGGCTTCTATGGTTACTTCTACGAACAAGACGTACCGCCAGTACATAGAAAGATCGCATCCATTGTGCGGTAAAATAAGAACCATGCACAATACTAGACCTAAATGGCATCAGCTTGTTAGCTTCACTTGACGATCTTCTAAGATTTATCTGCTCGAGCTTCTGATCTCAGTAGGTCAGACTAGCTCTCGTATGAACTGCTTGTTCCCTTTAAGGGCTGGTTTTTGATGCATGCACTTTAGCTTTCACCTGTCCTCCTCTTGCTGGCTTTGCAGGACTTGCTCCACTCTTGTTACGCCATCTCTCTGCTCTCGCCCCTGCCAGTAGACAGCTCTGTGAAGAGACAGTCTAACTCCATCTCCAGTCAAAACCTGAGAGGCAACCGAAATGTCTTACACGTCATTTCCATTTCATTGACTGGCACTACTGGGAAGGGGTCCCTGAGGTCACTAGGCTCTTGATGTAACCATCACTGTTCCATTCCTAGAGCGAAGTGAACTGAAAACAGGGGAAACCTCCCCCAGCATGGATCAGGTAGCCCTGCCTGGTTTTGAGCGGGCTGGGGGGGTCAGGGCAGAGATGGGAGAAAGAGAGTAGAAATGTGATAAGTATGTGAGCAGCTCTTTTTGGTAACTACATGCTCAGCGCCTAGCTGCTCCTTACACTTTGACTCACAGCCCAAGTTTCAAATTGATTTCTACCAGAAAGTGGTGGTATCAAAAACCCAAAATAGTGGCCTGGTGGTTCTCCTGGGGCAGCACTGGAGTCCTAATAACGTTGTTGCTGCCTCTTTTTAAAAAAAAATCTGAAATTAGTGAGATTCCACCAAACTCACCTACCTAGACATTTTATTTAGACAGCCATACCCTGACTAAACACCTAGCTAGCCTGTATTTGTTCTTAAAGTTTCTGAAATAAAAGTAGAGTTATTCTAGTACTTTTAGACATAGCTTTATAATACAATACCGCTGTTACACTATACACACAAAACCACAATTGGGAATTCAGGTAGAAGAATGGTGTTTATAATATATCAGCTTAGCCTGGCAAATGGCCTTTCCCTTTGAACTGTGCCTCCAGAGAACTTCTTGGCGCTCGGGCCCAAATGGTTGCTCTGAGGTAAACTGAAGCATTTCTGCTGTGA